ATCTAGAAGCAGGGGGGAAGCACTCCCTCCCACCTCCCCCAACCCCCGGCAAGAAGAAGCAGCAGCAGCAGCAGCAGCAGCAGCAGAGCCAGAAGCTGCAATCCTTTTGACTGAAGCAAGCCAGGCATGGATAGCAGACAGAATTTGCAATGGCAGCTGCTGTTATTTTTAGCTTCAGTGTTTTCCCTGCCAGATCTCATCTCCATGCAGATTCACTATTCCATCCCAGAGGACCAGGATCCAGGCTCTTACGTGGGGAATATTGCCAAGGATCTGGGAGTGGATGTGCGGACTCTGCGTGCTCGTCGCTTGCAGCTGGTCAGTGAGGGAATGCGCCAATACTTCCAAGTGAACCTGGCAGACGGCATGTTACTCGTCAATGAGAGGTTAGATCGGGAAATGCTGTGTAAATCCAGCCCCAGGTGTTCTTTTCCTTTTCAGTTGGTGCTGGAGAATCCATTGCAACTTAACCGGGTGGAGGTGGAGATTTTGGATGTGAATGACAATGCCCCCCGATTCCCAAATGACACTGTTTCTTTAGAAATCACTGAGGTTGCCAACCTAGGCACCCGATTACGGCTGGAAGTTGCAGAAGATCAAGACACTGGTTCCAATTCCATTGCAACCTATGAGCTCAGTCCAAATGAACATTTTGCTTTGAGTATCAATATCAGAGGAGATGGGGTCAAAATACCTGAAATTGTATTGGAAAAGCTTCTGGACAGGGAAAAAGCAGCTACCCATCATTTAATCTTGACTGCCCTAGATAGTGGAAATCCTGTTCAGTCAGGCACTGTTCAGGTAACAGTCCATGTTCTTGATGCAAATGATAACCCCCCAGTGTGTGAACCACCTGTATCAAAGGTTTATTTGGAGGAAAATATCCAGGTGGGGACTATTGTAACAAAACTCAATGTTACTGACTTAGATGAAGGACCTAATGGAGAAGTTGAATATTTCTTTAAATCCAGCAGCAGTGTACAGCTAAAACTCTTTGATGTGTTTAGTCTGGACTCTCAAACGGGGGAAATCAAGACAAAAGTTTTATTGGATTATGAAGAAGCCAATGCATATGAAATAGCCATCTACATTAAAGACAAGGGATCCCCTGCTATGGAAGGTCATTGCAATATTAGAGTAGAACTTGTTGATGTTAATGACAACAGTCCAGAGATTATGATGACCACTCTTTCTAGCTCAGTACAAGAAGATGCACCCATAGGAACAGTCATTGCACTTATCCAAGCAAAGGACAATGATTCTGAGGAAAATGGGCAAGTCCGCTTAGAGATTCCAAGACGTGTACCATTTAAATTGGTGTCTTCATTTAAAGGACATTATTCACTAGTGACTAATGGCCCACTTGATCGAGAGAAGACTGCTGGATACAGTATCACAATTAAAGCAACAGATTCTGGAATACCTCAAAAGTCAACTGAGAAAAATATATTAATTCAAGTTTCAGATATCAATGACAATGCACCCACTTTCTCCATCCCTTCCTACACTGCCCACGTAGAGGAAAATACATCTCCTGGAACTCTAGTCTTTTCTGTGTCGGCCTGTGATCCAGATGTAGGTGTCAATTCCAAGCTATCTTATTCCATTGTGGATACCGGAAATCACGGCTTGCCCATCTCAACCTATTTCCACATCAATCAAGAGAATGGCAGTATTTACACATCCAGGGTTCTAGATTATGAGCAAGAAAAAGTATTTCAAGTTTCAGTAGAGGTGAAAGATTCAGGTTCCCCATCGCTAAGCAGCACAAGCACTCTTCATCTGTTCATAGTGGATCAAAATGATAATGTACCTGTAATTGTACACCCAGAAGTTCCCAAAGGTTCTTCCTTTCATCAATCACTTCTAATCCCAGTGGAACCTGGATATCTGGTGACTAAAGTAGTGGCTGTGGATGCTGACAGTGGCCATAATGCATGGGTTTCGTACCATTTGCTCCATGAGACAAATGAGGTGAATGCTTTCAAAATAGAAGACCACTCAGGAGAGATCCGTGTCACTCGGACACTGAGGGAACCTGGGGTTTCTCACCGGTTGGTGGTAGAAGTTAAGGACAACGGGGTGCCATCTCTTTCAGCATCATTGATTCTAATCATCTCTTCAGAGGATAATGCTGCACAGGACTTTACCAAGTCTTTGGACCTTCTCCCCAAGTCACCCGCCAGGGCTCAAAATTTAACTCTTTATCTTATCATCTCTCTTGTGGCTATCTCTCTAGTGTCTTGTGTAATGATGATTATTGTAGGAGCCAGATGCTTCAAATCTGGCTTCTGTATCCCGAACTGGATTATATCACACTGGTGTAGTAGGAGGACAGACCGGAAATCTACCATAAATATCAGTGGGTATCCAAATCCAGAAGGCTTTATAAGATACCTTGAAGTGAGTGGAGCTGGAGCTCAGAACTACAAGTCTTGTTTCTCCCCTATGTCTGAGCAGGGAGATTTCTTTTTTGTTAAACCTTTCAGTCATTCCACTACAGCAGAAAGCATTCTTGCCTTTGAACACACAGGCAGTGCTTTGCAGAATCCCTCTGATGCGGTAAGATACACCAAGACAATGCTAGAACATTATATAAATATATATCTATAGGGATATACAAGTATTTGCAGTCTATATTTAACAGAAACTCTGCCATGAACTTTTATTTCACCTGAAGATATCATCTTCATGGATAGGGAATAGTTTTGTACTGTTTTTTTGCAAGTGATTTTAGATGCTTTGTTATAAATAACCTGTTTTGCCATTTGTCTCCACTTTGACAATTGTCTTTGCTCCTCAATGAGACATCTATATTAAAAGAGAATGAAGTTTTGTCAGTGATCCTGGTCTTGGTAACTGCTATTTTGATTCTTTTACAGGTAGTCCTTGATTTATGATCACATTTGGGGCAGGAATTTCTGTTGCTAAGGGATGTGGTAGTTAAATGAATCACACCCAACTTTACTATCTTTTTGCAGTGTTTGTAAAGCAAATCACAGGATCATTAGGCGCCATTGACTTCTCCATTGACTTTACTTGTTGGAAGATGGCTGAGAAGGTTGCAAGTAGCAATCACATGATCCTGGGATGCTGCAATCATCTTAAGTGCACATCAGTTGCCAAGTACCCAAATTGTGATCATGTGACCACAGGGATGCTGCAAAAGTCATAATTATGAGGACCAGTCATAAATCTTTTTTCAGCACTGTTTTAACTTTGAATGGTCACTAAACAAATATCATAAGTCAAGGCCTACCAGCATTAAGTGCAGCTAAGCACATTTAAAAACAGAAATCATATCTAGAAAATTCAGAAAGCTGATTAAAATCAACAATAAAAAGTATTAAAATAATCCAATAAATTGTTTGCCCTTTAATAGAAAGTTCTTGGTGTTGTTACTGTGTCAAGAAGGCTTCAATGTCAATTTAGATAAGGAACAGGTAGTAAATTTATTGATGAATAAAAATTAGCAGATGAAATTCAGATGAAGTTCCTTCAATTATCAGTTATTTGTGCAGCAAATGGTTGGTTCCCTGAAAGGATACTGTGGGATAGATATTTATTTCCTTGCTTCCAGTTGGAGTTTTGCAAATATGCCTGATGATTCATTTTTAGCAAGGGGTTGTGATTTCTAAAGTGTTGCGGATTTCATAAAATGCTCTCATCTTTCTCACATTGCTATCACTCTATATGATTGTTAAACAGTATTCAGAATAATCTTTGTTACAAAATTTTAATGCTTATTATTCATTATACAAACATACAAAATTATTTATCCAAAGAAATTCAGGTACCTGGTCTCAAATGATCAACAGGGCAAATATCTTCCTTTTGCTTTTGAGTTTACTTCTTTTAAATTATCTTCTACTTTATGAGACTTTACCCCCCCCCCCAAATATTCAGGGATAACAGATTTATCCTTGGGGGAAGATGATTGCTTATTTTATTGCTTTTTCAGAGGGTAGCCATTTTCACTGTTAAAATGACCCCACATAAACCTCCACTAATTGTCACAATTGTTATTTGCTGCCGAATTTCAGTGCTGTAGAACTGGACTCTACAAAGTTTGATTTAGGTCTTTAAAGAAAGATTTGCAAATTCTATGAACTTTATTTTACTGAACAGAATCCAGGTAGTCTTTAAGTTGTTTTATTATTTTATGTATTGGCTGTAGAGTGCTATATAGGCATTTCTTTTTTTAAAAAGAACTTTAAAAGAAGTTTTACATATATGAAGTAATATATACACGATCTTAGCATCAGGGGGAAATCTTCAGAAGCTGACACAGAAAACTTACATCCATGAGGGCTGTGCCCACTTACAATTGGTTAGAAATTGTGTTTTGGAAATTGTAGAAGCACTGGTGTCTAGCTTTCATGAAAAAAAGCATAACTTTTTTCAGTGAGACAGAAAAAATATGTTTCTGCTGCTTTCAGAAATCCATTCATTTAAGTTTTGTTTTGTGTCTTTGTGTTGACTCTTGGGGACTGTTGAAGCAAATCCCTGAAGTTATCTTGGCAAAACTTTCAGAAGTTTCACTGTGATTAACTTGTTGGATATCTTTTAATAATGTGGTGGATATGTTAAACATTATTACAAGTAGTTCCTACTTAGCAATTACTCCTTCAGCAACCATTTGATGTTAAAATGGTGCTGAAAAAGGAGATGACCAGTCCTTGAAGTTGTGGCTGTCACAGAATCCCTGTGGTCATGTGATCACAATATGGGCACCTGGCAACTAACACACACGATGGTTGCTATATCCCACAGTCTGGTGATTGTTATTTGCAACATTGATTGTGACCTTTCCTTCAGACAAGCAAAGTCAATGGGGAAGCTGGCAGGAAGTCACAAGTTGTGATCACATGACAACCTGCAGTAATTTGCTTAATGATTATAGCTGGAACTGATGAACTAATATCATTAGTTAAGTGCAGTCATATGGTGTTTCAGTTTGCAACCATATCATTTAGTGATGGAGCTGAGGGTCCCAATTGTAGTTGGTAAGTGAGGACTACCTATATGTACTAAGTTTCTATTGAATCTCCCCCCCCCCTTTTTTTCCCCCTGTACCCATCCACATTCTATTGTAAAAAAAATATAGTGAAACAATTCTCTTTCATGATCAATCCTCCCCTAATCATTATTGGTGATATTCAATTATGCTATTTCAAGTTTGTTTCATGTTTTATTTCATCTATGTATAATTTTTGTGAATGATTTTTCTAGTAGATTAGAGAATATTTCAGATTGCGGTGATACTGAAGTGCTGTTGAATAAACAAGCAAACATTTTTAAGCAGACTATTTAATCATATATTCCATTTGGAAATAGCTTGAAAATGTCATTGTATACTTGTGCATATTGTTTATAATTCAAAGTTTCAAAGCATAAACTAACCATATGTTATAGTTTTGTTTAATATTCTGTAGTAATAATGAGGATACTATGCTTAAATTGAAAAATAGAAATATGTTCCTCTTTATGTTTTTTTTTCCCCCAGCAAGCACAACCTAACACAGACTGGCGCTTTTCTCAGGCTCAGAGACCAGGAACTAGTGGGTAAGTTGTTTTACACAGTTAAGGTACTTTATAAATGGATGTTACCTTTGTGCTATAAAAGTGCATGAAAATATCTTGGGAAGTAGTAGACTT